AACACACACACGCGCATGCCATTGGCGCGCGCACGCGCGCTTACAAAGTGAGTGTGGTACTAACACACATGCGCACACGCGCGTCGAAGGGGAAGAAGGCGTTTCAATCTGGCCCCTTCGACCAATGATAACGGAGATGCACACAGAGATAGTCATGACTTTTATTAAGTATACAGATTATCTGCATAAGGATTAATTTTGTCATAAGCGGTCTCAAGCAACTTTGCTTTTATGACCAGATTGGATAGCCTGATAAAAAGTTAGAAATTGACTGCTAAAATGCGCCTGAAATTCAGAATTCTTTAATTGACATTTTTTCCACCCCCGAAGTTATTCCTGGCTGCTATGGGTCCTCCAGGTGGCGGACGAAACGAAATCACTACTCGCTTTACCCGACACTTGAACGTCCTCGGCGTAAATGAGTCTGATGATGCCACAATGAGCCGCATCTTCACAGTCATCGTTGACATTCACTTCAACCGGGGTTATGAGGCCCATTTCCAACGTCTGAGCAAGGTGAGCCACTTTGACGCCCCAACGTCTGACGTTTATTTAAAATTGTTTGCCTGTTATATTACAGTACATTCTATACTATACTATACTGTATACTATTAAGTCTGGTAATAATTTAAAATAGACTGATTGGCAAAAGTAGCTTATGTAGTCCCCTTCATATACCACTAGGCCCAGCATTTTGTCCTGCAAAAACGGTGGGTATAGGGTTTTGGGGGCTGGGGATATGGGATAGGCAGAGAAGGAAAGCTTTAGCAGTAAGTGTAAAGTGGAAAAGTAGTCAAAATTGTCTTCCGTGGCCGCTGGGGGGAATTTTCTTCCGCATGTAAATTGAAGGTGCGCGCGGCGCTTTGCGCCACAGACTATGCTAATCTAACTCCAGAACGGTAAGTTGGACATCAGGTAAGTTGAAGTTGACGACCTCCTAACCACCATTTCTATTTTTCGGGAATTTCAAGAAACCTACAATTTGATAATCAGTTTTTTTCCGCAAAACGTTAAACGATAATACAGATTAGGAATATCTACAGATATAAATCAACAACACTTCTAAATACAGTAAAATAAAATGCATATAGCAGTTATTAAAATATATTACACTGCGTATCCTAGTTCCCAACCCATAAAACCCTATAACCACCGTTTTCGTAGGACAACATGCTGGGAGTAGGGATTAATGAGGGGAACTACATAAGCTACGGTTGCCGGCTGCTTGTTATACTAGAGTATACAGTATTGAACATACTGTTATATTACAGTATGTATTATTGTGCTTCCGTGATTCACACTGCAACTTCTTCTGCTGCTGTACCCAGGTAATGGTCCAAGCAACTCTGCAAGCTTATAAGGCCGCAATGAACTCCTTCCTACCCACACCCGCCAAATCACATTATGTCTTCAACCTTCGAGATTTCGCTCGTGTAATTCGAGGCACACTTCTCGTTCCCCCCGCCCAGCTGAAGGAAGCAGAAAAACTTATTCGCCTCTGGGTACACGAAGTAAGTTTAAGTTTCTCTATTTGCAGCCATGCGATTAGTTTGTTCATTCACCAGCATTAAAATCAGCCCATCCCCAAATGTTGGGTTATACGGAAGTGTCGGTGGTTTTTGTGCCCACGAGAAGGTTCCCCAAATCACCAGTCAGGTAAGACAGAGTTGATAGGAAGAGCTTTACTGCGCGAAAAGAGCCTTACAATAGGCGCTGCCAAGTGACCGCAAGCACCGCGTCTGA